GCAGTGCAATTTAGCAAAGCCCATCGAATTGAATTGAAGAACCTGTTTCGCGACGCAGGTTCGAGTGTTGAGGACGTTTCCCATTCAAAAGGAAGATCTGCACCAGCAGCTACAGCGACCGAGCGACCGAATCTCTGTGGCAAGGTGTTACGGAATGTACTGGCGTACGGATCTGCTGGTAGTGGCAAGACCACAGTGTTTCTGCTCATGGTTCTATACCTGTGGAGCAGAGGCGAACTGTGGCAGGAGGAATTCGATCTGGTCGTGGGACTGGAGCTTCGTAAAAAAGAGGTGAGAGCTGCCACTAGTCTTGCTGAGCTGTTGACTGTGAAACTGGCAAGCCAGGGCCTGTCGCAGACTGAGATATTGGAGCTAGCAAGCTACTTCCAGGATTCTCCAAGCCGTCTATGTGTCATCATGGACGGCTTGGATGAATGTGATTTCGCCAGCTGCAGTTTGTTCATGAGTGACTTGCTGAAACGTGAGGGCATGGTGAAGACACACGTGATCGTCACAAGCCGTCCATGCCAGGATGCATATCAACTATCGCAGTGTGGTAAATATCAGCAGAAGATCCAAGTACTGGGTTTCTCACCGGAGAACGTGAGGGAGTATGCAGAGAAGGTTCTCGGTAGAGAGCGCGCTGAAATTCTGCTGGCAGAGCTGCGGAGCAAGCCGGATGTGTCATGTCTTATGGCAACTCCCATGTTTGCAGCCCTAACATGTGAGCTTTTCAAGAGCAGCAATGCCGTGTGGAAGTGCAGCGCATCCCTGTACGAATCGTTACTGCGTCGAGTCGTAGAGCGTGCTGGTGGTGCGGTTTGCGAGTCGATTTCACTGGCACCCAGCAAAGTGGTCCAGTCGCTACAGGAACTGGGGAGTTTTGCGTTTCGCATGCTGCTGGTGAAAAGGATGGTGTTCAACACATCCGACATCGTCAACTCCCACTTGAGCAAGGATGCCATGAGCTTGGGTCTTCTGCAAACATGCCAGGGCACAATGTCTACGGACGCTCGGCAATACCGCTTCTGCCATCTGTCACTGCAGGAGTTCCTGGCGGCATGGTTTCAGGCAGAATGCGTGGTGCAAGAAAGTTATCACGCCATTGCACTGGTACAACGACTGGGCGCGTACGATGGCCATATGGCAATGTTCTGGAAGTTTCTCATTGCTCTATGCCCGGAAGACGTGTCGCTGACCATCATGGAGGAGCTATGGCGTGCGCAGTGTGCGGATCCCATACCACTGGATCCTAGCAGTGAGGCCGACGAATCCACCAAACTAGCTAACAGATGCGCCAGCGACGGGCAAGAGGAATGGGCTTCCGTCGCGACTACGGAGGCTACCAAACATGCTGCTACTGCCGCTAGACGTGCTGCCACCGCTGCTAAGCTAGCCGAGGAGATACGCAACGACTCAAGTGTCCTGACCGGTGAGATGGAGATGACAAAGGTCCACGACCGACTTTGCCAGATTCTGAAGGCTGAGCACATGACAGTCCTCGCCGACATTCTCCTCATTCCTCGGCATGACCGTGGCAAGGGCCATGGTGAGCAACGTGTGCGCCGTTCCATGCCCATCAGCCGAGAGCCCACAGACGCGCTATTCCTAAAGACTCTCCTGACGGTGTGGATGGAGAACGGCAGTGTTGCAAATGGCACTGTGCTGCTGGAAGCGCTATCCAAGGTGGATGCCAAGCTGGGGCGCCCGTGCGAGAGTCTCCTTCATCCCGCTGCTATGCTGCTGAGTCATGAATCCCTGCAAGCTGCTCCTTCTCGCATTGTAAGTCTAGCTGATGCTGCTGATGCTGCTGCTGAATCTTCTCCTATACGTAGGTTGTTTGTTCATCTTGTGGTGGCATATCATGAGCATGCAGAGTATCATGGTGTGTCCCGCAACTGGAAACACCCTTTCTTTCGTGCTATGCTTGCATCAAAGCTCAATCTGTACTAGTATAATGTTTCTCTTTCTTCTCATGAATGTGTTGCTCTCAGTTCTTTACTGTGTGGCTATACATGTAGTGATTTGGAGGTAGTCAACCTCGGCGTTTGTAGCATTGTGGATGAGTCATTTCCCAGCTTATCAGCAGGCTTACAGAGGTGTAGTAGTGTACGTGTACTACGTCTATTTGTGAATGCTATTCATGATGGTCAGGCATTGTCCTCCGTGATTTCAGCCATGTCTGCTAGTCTTGTGAGGGTGGATGTCGCTTGTAACCCTGTTGGTGTGAGTGGTTTTGTGTCGTTGTGCCGTGCACTTAGTCAGTGTAAGAATGTACACACTGTCCGTGTCGAGTACATGTACAGTGATGGTGCTGCACCGTTGTCTGTACTCTGTGATATGTTGGAGCAATGTACACGGCTGAAAGAGTTTTGGTTGGAGGGGAATGTGTTTGTGGACAGTGAGGATGATGAATTGAGATTCATTGAAGCAGTGAAGGTGTGTACACAGTTACGTGAATTGTGGGTGGAGGACTGTGGCTTGAGTGAGAATGTTTGTTCTCAACTTGTCACCGTGTTCACAGAGTGGGGGTGTCGGCATGGCTTGCATGTGTGAGTATGTAGACTGGCTGTGTGAGTGTAATGTGATTGTGACAATGTATGTTGTGTTGTAATTTGATCACACAGTCATGTAAACTCAGTAAATTTGTTGTAAATTCTTGAGACAATGTAAAGTTTTGTATTGTTTTGTTCCCCTGTATACCCCCTACCCCTAAACCCTGACCATCGATAGGTTTTTTTTGCCTGCTTTTCTTCTTGTACATATTATGTTTTTTGCTTGCTGCTTGCCGATGTCATATCCGGCAATGCTGCAACTGTGACTTTTCCTACTCATGGCTAGATGCATGTTATTATTGTTGTTGCCCGCGAGCATCATGCATGCAGAGCTGTCCTAACGTATCCCCTTACCTCTACATCTGTGTACTTGTTGTAATGTACTAGTAGTAGTATTGATCCACGCCGCCATCATCTTGCCTCTAGCTCTCCCCTGACAAATCAGTTGGTGACAGTGCGACATATTCATACCTGTCACCGTCGTTATGGTCTGGTGCGCATATACATGTACGTCCGTATTACAGTAGTACTGAGTACTCTTGTCCCGCTGATGACAACGACATACGTAGCACCTCACCGTATAGCCGGTGCTATTGCTGTTGCACTGAACAATACATTAGCAGCGTAACTGCTTCTCAGCTGGCATGGTCGTTCGCTATTGCATTATAACCCGCGCTGATATTTACTTCGTGTTTTAGCTAAGCTTACAATAGGGGGTGTTCTTAGCCGCTAGGGTCACTTCTCGTTTCTCCCTCTTCTTGTCCGGAGCAATAAGCGTCCTTTAGGTTACGGTGACCTTGTTGTGTGAGTGGTTGGGCAGTAGCCGTATATTGCGGCTGAACGCTACTACTAGCGGGATACCCGGTTACGACATTTGGCGCTGCGAGCAGGGTCTGCCCACCACTCTACAAAGGACGGCTAGATGGCGGAAACTAGCAATTGCCAGGCAGAAGAGGTCCGGAGGGCGCTCCGCGATGGAGCGGCGGCCTTGGAGGAAACCGGGCGCGAACGGCCTGCCACGCTGCTGCGGAGGCTGCGTGGCGAGCTGGTTCGGTTGCAGCGGTCATCGGAGGGCTTCTTCTCCTCCTTCGTTGGTGCGGATGCCGGCAGGAGTGAGGATTCCCCTCCGGTACCAAGGCGGAACGGTTCCCTACCCCAGAAGCGGCGACGAGAAAGCGAGGAGTCTGCCTACGTCGCACCAGGAAAGAGGTCCTGTTCTGACCGACGGCGGGTGAAGCGGGAGGAGCGGTGGCAGGCGCATTTGGCCAAGCGAGGTTGGCCTGCGGAGAAGCCTCGCGGTGAGGCCGCGGCAACAGTTGCCGCGACTACTGCTGCAGCTGCCGTGGTGGCAGCGGGAAGTGTGGCGGGAGTTATCAATGCTGCACCTCCCAAGAAGCCCTCCTATGCTGACGCGGTCCGCGGCGGGCCAGAAGGTCAAGGTGACTAGGTCGCGATGGACCTGGACACTGATCTCGATTACGGAGGCACGGAAGATGAGGAAGAGGTCAGCGCAACTTACACCGGTCGGCTACGGTCGGTGGTCGTTAAACCAGTCCGGCCACCACCGCCACCACTGCCGGCACCTTCAGCGGAACCCCAATGAGCGCCTGCTCACGCGGACATCGTGTATACTGACTTGTATGTATTGCTAACGCATGATCTACATGTGTATGTATGTCTACCTCTCCTTCAGTGAACCAATGCTTGCATATGAACTAGTCTGCGGCATGCTGTTGTGCTGTGTGCGTCACCTGCTTGCGGTTAGCAGTCACTTGCTCGCATGGGTTCAGTTACGGGTCGTGACCGAAACCCTGGCAAGGCTTTAGACTAGGTGTGGAACTGCGGTTAGTTCCAAATCATGTATCAGCATTGGCTGTGGTTCTGATCAGTCTGAGTAGGTGTCATGGTTGTTTGCATTGTCTGTACGTCTAGAGGCTTGTTGTTACCCTTGAGGGCATTGGTGGTTTGTTCGGAACAGCGCTCTGATAAGGGTCTAGTGGTTGTGATTCGGTGTGATCCGATGGAGTTGATGTATCCTGGGAGCCTGTGGTTAGGTCAGGTTACAGTTGACGAGGATAATTTAAGAGTCTGGTGGCGCCACCAGGGATAACGATGTACTAGGGTACTGTGTGCGTGTGCGTGTGTGTGTGCGTGTGGACCGAATGCACAGAGGTCAGGGTGTCGGGACGGCTAAGGTAACAATGGACAGCTCTTGATGAGCTGGTCGTGGGCGATCGGGAGTATCGCGCGAAGACCTGGGTCTTCGGTGGGCCGCTAGGAAGCGCTAGCGGGCCCAGTGATAGTATAAAGCAACGTGTTCGTCCCTGGGGAGTCAGTTGGTGGTTGTTGTACCTTGTTTCCTGACGGATTGTGCCTGGGTCCTGTCGTCCCGGGTTTTATTTTTATTTTTTGTGTTCTTAATTTGTTGTGTGCGTGAGAGGAGCGATGGCTCAACGAGGGCAAAACCAGGGTGCTGCCGGTGCAGCGCCCGTAGGTGGTGGTGGCGCTGCTGCTGCGGGGGCAGCTGCGCTTGGAGGTGTTCCTGCTGCAGGAGCCGCTCCAGCGAGAGCAGGCGGCGCGGTTGCTCGGCCTGCTGTTATGCCAGAGACCTTTGATGGAGAAGGAGATTGGCAGGAATACTTGGCCTATTTCATACAGTGTGCGGAAGTCAACGGATGGCAGGATCCGCAGAGGGCCCAGTTCCTTGGGGTGAGGCTGCGCGATGCGGCTCGCCGGTTCTTCACTACCTTGCCTGCTGCTCGACGAGTGAATTGGCAACATCTCTGCGCTGATATGGGCAATCGGTTTGCCCCTGCTGCGGTTGCAAACCAGTACAAGGCCCAATTCCGTACGCGGCGACGGAAGGCGGGTGAGGACCTACTGCGGGTCGCTGATGACTTTCGTCGCTTAGTCGTCCGGGCTTACCCTATGATGCCAGATGCGGTTCGCGATGATCTGGTGCGAGACCTATTTATCGAATCTCTTACACCAGTGGCTCTGAGGGTGCTTTTACAGGAGAACCCACCGGCAACCGTCCAAGCGGCGGTCGAAACGGCATTGCACCTGGAAAAGGTATGGTCAGAGGTAGAGCTTCCACCAGATGCATCGACCAAGTTAGTGGGCCCTTATGTACGGGCGGGTTTGGGCGCGGTCGCCCAGCCATTGCTTCAGACTGTGATGGCCACATCTGGCGTGTGCGAGTCACCCCGTTACGGGCCAGCGTCCATGGTCGCCCCAGTTAGCCAAGACGAGCGACTCGCCACTCTCGCGACATCCCTGTCGCAGCTGACTGAGAAACTGGACCAGGTTCTTCATCAAGAGTCCACTTGCCATGCGCCTGGTATCTTCCAGTCCCCACGGCGGGGATGGCGTCCGCCAAACTTACGTGGCGGTGGGTCACCCCTCCTCTGCTGGCACTGTAATAGACCAGGGCATACCCGGGCTCAGTGCCCCGAATTGGCTTCCCATGACAGCGGTCGAAACGGCTGGAAAGGATCTGAGGGGCGTGGGCGGCCTCAACACCAGTCGGGAAACGAGTACTGACCGGAGCGGCGGATCACGTCTCCGGTCTAGCGTCGGTAGGTTCTACAACTACTTCCCTGATCCCCGCTCCCCATTCTACTAAGAATGTCCGCGGGTTCGAGGTCCAAGTCTGTTTAAACGGGGTGAGTGCTGTTGTACTGATTGACACAGGGTCCGCAGTAAGCTTGATTTCCGAGACACTGCATGGCTGGCAGGGTGGGTGTTGGGCCTGATGACATTGAAGGTTACGAGGGAGGTGGCCTATGTAGTGCTAACGGCAGCCCGCTGTGGGTGGTTGGTAAAACTGTTGTGCAACTTACGTTGGACCAGGGTGAATGCTTGCATACAGTGTGTGTGGTGCGCGGTCTGCACCATTCGTGCATCGTTGGATGTGACGTCCTAGCTTTGCTACCCTGTTCCATTACTTCTGATCCCCGCGCCCAAGACTTGCACTTTAGATCGGCCCCTGTACGCCTATCTACCATTGATCCTGCCGCGTCTAGTGTTGTGAAATTACGGCGGCGTGTATGTATTCCAGCTCGCCATGAGCTGTGTGTCTCCGGTGCAGTGCGGGCGAGGCCGCAACCCGATGTCCAATGCGATGCTGTTTTCGCACCTGATGCAGGGTCGATGTTTAGGTATGGTTATGTTGCAGCGCACGCGGTGGTGCGGTGTGGCGTACAGGGCGATGTGCCAGTGCGTCTGCTGAATACCTCGGACAGGGATGTGGTTGTTCCTCGAGGTACGCGCCTTGGGTCGCTGAGTCCCACGGCGCTTCACTGCGATGCTGCGGAAGTATGCGCAGTGGGGTCTACGGAGGAGCCCCGGGGAGAATATAGTTGGGACGAGCTCGGTAGCGAGTCTGGCCTGTATGATGTGCTGCACATTGACGAGTCGCGATTGACTGCAGACCAACGGCAACAGGTACGGGGCCTGTTACACCGTCACCGTCACGTCTTTGCGATGTCCTGCGCTGAGCTGGGTCGCACATCGCTCATGGAACATCAAATTGACACTGGCGATGCCACTCCAATCTTCCAGCCACCACGTCGTCTTCCGTGGCATCAACGACAGGAAGCCCGTACGATTGTGGACAAGATGTTACAAGGCGTCGTGTCCGAGTCCACGAGCAGATGGCAGCGGGCAACACTGATCCAGCAATCAAGAAATAGAGAAACCAGTTGATGCACAGAATCCGGGAACTCCAGAGAAAAGACGCCAATGACAAGATAGATCACATTGCCGCCGAGGTAGAGAACGCCCCAACTCCCGCCAGGATGTTTGCAGCTGCATCCGCACTGAAGAAAAGCAAGAAACCCAGCTAGTAATCCATTCAGAGGACGGTGAAACCCTTTGCAAAGACACGGAAAAGATTTAAGCAGCGGCAACCCATTTTGAGCGCCTGTTTCACAGTCCCACCGCAGTACCTATTGATCAACCCCGGCCACACCAACTGCAGGATCCTATCCAACCAGCAAAAGTCGTAAAGGCAGCCGTCAAATTGCGCAATTGTCGTGCATGTGGTCCTGATGGTATCCAGGGAGAGCTAATCAAGTACTCCTGTAGTCAGCTTGCTCCAGTCATATCGGAAATCATCAATTCGTGCATCACGAATGGAGACAATCTTATTTCGACTCTAAGCAGTGGCTCGATTGTCCCGCTAAACAAACCAAACAAACCGAAGGGACCAACAGCAAACATACGCCATATCATCCTCCTCAATACTATGCGCAAAGTCATATCTCTCATTGTTCTGAACCGAATATCGAAGCAAGTGTCTAGCTTCCTTGGGCCCACTCAATCTGGATTTCGGGCAGGTCGCAGCACTAGTGACGTTGTATGGTGCATCCGATGGCTTGCAGATAAAGCAATTCGATACTATTGGGACTGCCACATACTAGGACTAGATATGTCCCGTGCTTTTGACTCGCATGACCGAGCGGAGGTGGTGGAGGTCAGGGCGGGCATTGCGGGTTCATATGAGGTGTGTATGATTCAACACCTGCTGTATCGTACCTCTGTAGCAGTCAAGATCAGCAGAAAGGAATCCAATCCCTTCGAAGCCAATATCGGGACTCCGCAGGGAGATGGGCTCAGCCCGATACTGTTCGTTTGTTAACTGGGGGCTGCCCTGCGGGAGTGTCGGGACCGTTTCCCTTGAAGGCCAGAGCATGATAACATGATCCCACCAGAGACAGGTTACGCTGATGATGTTAACGTCCTGTCCCGTAACTTATCTTGGCTCAAGGAAGTTTTGCCCGCGATAAGTGCCACACTCGGAGTCTGGGGTCTGAAAGTAAACGAGGCGAAGACAGAATAGATCCACTTAACGTCTGAAGGCGAAAGATAGAAGAAATCTAAACAGCTTGGGTCCTACTTGGGCGGGGGTGATGATATTGCTCACCGTATGGAAAAGGCCTCGCAGGTCTTTGGCAGGATGTTCTCCCTATGGCTCCGGAAGGAGAAGGTATCAGAAAAGCGCCGGCTGAGAATATACAATGCCCTCGTGATCTCCACCCTCCTCTACAATTGTGAGACGTGGGGACTCACGGAGGGCAACCTGGCATCCCTGGACGTATTCCACAGGAAACAGCTACGCACAATTCTTGGAATTCGTCACCCAGACCATTATAACGAATGATCCGTTGTACAAGAGGTGCAGCTCTGAACCGATATCTGCAATTGTAAAGCGCCGCAGAACGCAAATGCTAGGGCACGTTCTTCGGATGGACCCCAATGCACCTGCTTTCAGAGCTATGACATGCTACCTGAAGCGAGACGCTACCGGCCACCGTGGTAGACCGAAGTCGCGAAGACAACACTCGCCACCACAGTCATCAAGGGCCTCCAAGAAAGGAACATCCCATTGAAGAATGTGGGGGATTTGGAAGAGGTCCGCACCACTGCCACTGACAAGAATCAGTGGCGTGCCATGTTCCATCAGTAGCTGCTGCATTTTGTCCGTTCCGCTCAGTGACTCCATTCTTAACGTTCAAGCAGTAACCTCTGCATTTTGGCCGCTCAGTAACTATTAGTGCTTGCACTCCGTTTCCCACACGCGCACGCACACTTCCCCGCACGGACACTTCCCCGCACGCACACTAGCACATGCATGCGCGTACTTACATACACCCATCTCCATACACACCTCTATCCGGTTGTGCACTTTCATTTCTCTCGGGTGTTTTTCTTTTCCTTTTTTTCACAACCATCACATGTAGCAGAGCTCAAAAGAGACAGAAGCGGAAAGGTTAGCATTTGCTGCCTTGTACGCGAACTGTTCTATGATTATTGTTATTACAAAACCGAAACAGCTTGCTGTCTACAGCATTGGGTATCACGCTCCTCGGCTTTCGCCTTGTTGAGCACTCTCAGTAGGCTGCTCTGTGCTGCTGCATCACGCAATGCCCGCTAATTTTTGTAGTTTGAGCACTCTGGCGCTAGAGCGACGAGCTATCTTCATGTCTGTGGTGCCTCCTTTGCACCATGGCTGGTAGCTCAACCTATTTAGCTCGTAGCTGTACTGATGAGGCCTTTATGGCCGAAACAGCTTGCTGTCTACAGCATTGGGTATTATTATTAATATTATATATCTCTCTCAATCTCTCTCTCGCGCGCGCTCTCTCTCTCTGTCTCTCTCGCTCTCTCTCTCACTGTCTCTCTCGTTCTCTCGGTCATTATCTCGGACAGTCTCTTGATGTTTCCCTTCAGTCTATTTTTCACTCATGGTAGTTCATTTGTTCGTCGTGGTGGCGATCTTTCTCAATCTCGTGTCGTTACCTGGATATCGTATGTACTTTCCCTCAGGCATTGTGAAAGGTGTGCTTAACACACGTCCTACTTGACACTTTACACATATCATACTTCACTCTGTACACATAACGCTTCCAGGCTCTCACACGTTAGCTCCTACTCCCTTCCGGTAGATCTCTCACTGCTAACAATATGCGTAGTACATAGAACCTGTATTGCTGACATGACACAAAGCACATTATAATTATTATTCTAGTATCCGTTCCCAAGGGGAACTAGACAATGGAGTGAAAAAACATAGCGCATAGCAGCTGTATTGCTGAGCTTGTATTGAGTGCGCTTCTGGTTGTTGGGGAAGCTCATAGTTATCCAGGAAAATAATATCGTCTCAGTGCTGGCAGCGAGGAGGGGGATTCGAACCCACGCCTTTTTATTTTTTTACTTTTATATTTATTTTTTATGAAAGTTCACATGCCTACATAGAATGGAAGAGAACAACAACAACAACATCAAGAGAACATAAGGGACTACAAAGGGCGTGTAGGTGCTATTGAGCTGTGCCGGTGAGGTGAAGTGTGCTTCCCCGACGAATGGTCTCGGGATCAAGGCGCACAGCACGCACCTTGGGGGAAAGGGAGAGGAGAAAGACTGTGTGTGAAGAGTGAGAACCTGGGAGCCAGACAATTAATGATGGAGAGAGAGGGAGAGGAAGAGATGGGGGGGGGGGGGCGGGGAAGTGAGGGAGGGTGAGGGAGTGAGTGGCAGATTAGTTCAGGAAACTATGGCAATGGAACAACAGCTGCGTTCATTTCAGTGGGGGGGGGGAATACGGAGAAGTTAGATCGGAGTTGCTGCCAGGCAGAGTAGTGTGCAGGCACTGGATCAGCGAGAAAGAGGCCACGAAAAGCAGCAAAAAGGAAAGAAGATAAGAAAGAAACATTAACGCAAAACATTCTGCACTGAAGTGATTCGAGAGCTCTAGGGAGCAAGGTACAGTTCAGTGAGGTGAAGAAAAGGTGATCGTTGTGGGACTGGAGAATGGAACATCGTCAAATTTAGCCATGGAATGCTGTCGCCCGCAACCAATCCTGGCGCCTCAGGTGCTGACAAATACGAGACTTGAAGGCCTTCATTCCCTTCATTGCAGGAGTTTCCGGAATGGCTTCCTCAGGAATGTCGTTCCATGCCGCAATGAGGGTGTAGGGGAATGATCTCAGTAGGTAGTTCGGTGCTGTCTGAGCAAGTGGTCATTGGAACTGGAAAGGGTGGCGAGAAGCTAGTTGTCGGCGGGTTCTAGGAGTAGGTGCAGGCGCCGACTGTGGTGGGAGGAGGGCTGTCAGCTGGGGTTGACCCTTAATGTAGTGCAACTTGTACACATATGCAAGCCCTGAGACTGCCCTCCTGAGCTGCAGGCTCTGAAGGATCGTGCCAGTCCGATGTTTCGCATTGCCTTCTCCTGCACCCTGTCATAGCGTGCTAGGTGGGATTGGGCTGCACACACGGTGGCTAGGGGAGCGTACTCCAGGATGGGCCGAATGAACCCCTTATACACGGCAAGGCGGCCCTCATGACCCAGAAGCCAAGCAGCACGGCGCAAGAATCCCAGCCGCTGGCTGGCCTTGACAGCGACAGCATGAATGTGGCGCTGGATCCCAAGCTTAGAGTCGAATGTGACTCCAAGCAGCTTTAGGTGGTCCGAATCCGGAATAATCGCGCCGGCAATGGTGGTTGTTTGAAAGTCAGGGCGCTTTCTAAAAAATTAATAACATTTCACGGTTCGCGTGAGACTCGGCTGGAAGCCGGGCTTTCCGCATCCGTAGGAACGCCACCACCCTTCAAGGATCAAGGCGCAGATGCTGCTCCTAAAGCGGTGGGAGGTGAGTAGATCAGCTCACCAGCAAGTGGTCAAAGACCGAAAATCCCATTCACTGCATCCATGTTTTCCTCGTGCCAGGCCACGAGTTCCCAATTAACTGTGGGTCGCAGCACGGCTGGAAAAAATCCTTCCGCTTCCAAGCAGGGCTTGAACCTGGTACCCTCTGCAGGCAGGCATAGTGTGATGGTCTAAGATCATGATTGAGAAACAGAGGGCGCTTTCTAGCATTGCATAAAATCAGGCGCTGGCTCTTGGTGGGCTCGAACTGGATCCACCATTGCTGGCCCCATGCGGCAAGATTGCTGAGGGTTGTCTGTAAAGATGCTGCCTTCTCCTGGAGGTTGTCGTTTGGTCTGATCAGACTGTACACGGTAGTGTCATCGGCGAAAGAGCTGAGCTTTACTCCATGCGAGAGGCATTGGTCGATATCGGCAGCAAACAATGATATGAAGAGTGTGGGGCCCAGGACGCTGCCCTGGGGCACTCCGGCAGTGATGGGGTACTTCTTGGAAGCTCGGCCTCCAGTAACCACCTTTAGGCAGCGGTTACTCAGGTA